GTTCTTTTTTTGCGTGTTTATGGACCGAGATGGATTCGAGGTCCATGAACTCGCGAAAAAAAAGAAGAGGCCAATATCCAGCCATCTTGACCGAACATTAGCTTGGTCAATAAAGGATTTATTATATAGAAAATAGGAGCCATAATCGGTGAACGATTATGGCACTGTTTTCTTGTGGAACACAGCGGGTAATTTCGAACGGGCAAGATAGCGCCACCTTGCCCGCTCGGGTAGCCAATCACGGCGCAGCATTCGGTCATCTTGCCAGCTCACGGAGCAAGCCATATAATATATAATTCATGACCGTGTCAACAAAAATGTTTCTTGTTGGTCTCCATTCACAAACATATTACCCCAAAGCATATTAAAGCAGAAGCATATTATTTGGCAGAATTCTGTTAAATCTATTTATGGAACTGATGTTCCTTTCGGTTGGTGACCAGCCTCCTTCGCAGATGCTGTTTGGGTTCATTACGCAATCTTCGAAGAAGGACTGCGTGACGAGCCCAAAGAGTTTCTGAATATTCTTGATGGGTACATGAACACATACTGTTGATATCTACGCATATTACTACACTCTTTTATAGTTGACGGAGGATCGAGTCACGCTGCAGCTGCTCGTACGGAAAGCTCTTACATTACAATCTCTAACAAAGCAAATCGGGCGATAAAGGTGAATGTTTACTTTCCTTGACATTATTAAATGTTGCTTACATCTTGTTTTGTTGAATTATGTTCCTTGCTGATTGTTTTATCAATCTTTCATTTTGTATCCAGTTTTATTGTATTTAATGATCAAGCGGGTAAGTTGTATGTGAGTGCTTGTAATCAATCAATCAATCAATCAATCAATCAATCAGTCAATCAGTCAGTCAGTCGGTCAGTCAATCAATCGATCGATCGATCGATCGATCAGTCAAGTAATCAATCAGTCAATCAATCAATAAACCAATCAATCAGTCAGTCAGTCAGTCAGTCAATCAATCAATCAATCAATCAATCAATCAATCAGTCAATCAATCAATCAATTTGTTTAGAATGGTTGGTGTACGGATGCAATAGCCACTTTACAGATTTAAAACAAACGCAATGTTGGAAAATCCATTACATGTAAAAGTCAAAAATTTACAATCGAGAAGAACCTTTAAGTACGTGGATGTTTCTGTAATCGTTCACAATAGAAGAAGATTGATCAGTGATCACAGATGTCAACCCACTTTACTGTAATAACTGTATTTATTATCAATCTTCTATCAGTCAGTGTTGGTACTAGCAATAACGTCACACTTATATAACATGCATTCTAATTTCTTTGAAATCAGCTTTACTATGTCAACGGCGGAAAGGAATCATTTTTCCAAATCTTGAAAGAAGGAGAAGGGCGGAGCATAGATACCTTCACATCACATAACTGGGTTGCAAGAGACTTCGATTCCGGGAAACAACTCTTTATCAACAAAAAAAAGGTCTATTCTCCCCCACCCGGCACTTCTCTCAGGAGACGGGACAAAGTCGATGTCACCATACCACGTGAGTAAAATGTCGGACTACTGAGCCAAGCTAAAATACCACGGGAAAGCCATGTTGTTTAATGCCATTTTTGTATTGAGATTTGAGAGGTTCGCGTTCGCGTCGGACGTTAACAGCGATCTTGTTTTGTAAAACAACTTAGATACTACATGCACCCCGATTGGTCAATAGCGTTGCTAAACCTAAATCCATTGTCCTGATTGACACATAGAAAAGTGGTTACGTCACCGTTCCCGTTATGGACGAAGAGAGTTACGAACATTTCCCCAACGTTGACCTTATGTCGGGTTTTGGTGTGGAAAGGTCAGAAGGTGAAAATCAAATTCACAATAAACCAAATCACACGATTTGCCGTGGTCGAAAGCGAACTAAGATTTTCACAGTTCTACGCGGGAACGAGAGAACTCAGAACACTAACGATAACAAATGTAATAAACAGACTTAACAGTTTCGGTTTTCACTCGCTGAGATATCAATTAGACGAATATCTTTTCGACCAAACATGTGCATGGAAGTTTACAAAGAAAAACAGGACCAGAAGTTGGTCTAGATTTAAACCTTTTTTCCGTTGCAAACAATTTTACGCCGATTCCGTTTACCCTTGAGTTTAGTCCCGGCCAAACGATCGCAACATTTCGACGCACTTTTTTGCAACATTGTTGGGCGCAACATGTTTCGCGCGATTGTCCACCCTGTTGCGGCGTGTTTGACATGTTGTGTGTTGTTGGCTCAAGTTTGAAAATGGTCAACACCATAAATGCTGCAACACGTTGCAACAGGGTGGACAAACGCGCGCAATATGTTGCACCCAACAATGTTGCGTTAAATTGCATTGAAAGACCCTTGAAATGTTGCCATCGTTTGGCCGGGGCTTACAGTGCTTTCGATGCTTTCCACGGCCTGTGGACGATGTATTTCTGACTACAGCTGGGCTAGACTAATCACTTTGGGTTGTTGAAAAGCAGGGAAAAGATTTCTTGCTGACATTTAAACGTATTAGTAGTTTTGAGTTTAATAAGCCGAGGTTAAGCTCAATTCGTGCATGTATAACACGATGAATGAATTTGATTTCCACTAAGCCTGTTTCAAGCAATGGTTTTCTTTTACCAAAATACAGACATGGAAATACGCACTTCTTAGCCTTCAACAAAAGTAAATAAATTCTGAATAAATTTCAGAGGCAGCGTTTCTGGACTTCAGTTCTGGAACTAACCTTTATTCCATCTGTAAAACTTTTGAAAGTTACCGACATAAGATGCCCTTATCTCCTTTGTATTCTTATAGAGATACCCTGGCGATCAAAAAACGTTTCAGTCAATAAGGAAATCCAGACGCATGTCTGATTTAACCTCCTCGCGTACCTTGAATTCCCGCGGACAAACCACCCAATCCATTTTATGGCAAAACAAATCCTTGTGGTCTCTTACGAGGTAGCCGTAGATCCTCAAATTGTCCTTCTTCTAAGATAATGTCGAATTTTTGCTTTGTTTCAGCTGGACTGAAGCTCCCCGCGGCCACACAGCCCTCTCAACCTGACAGCCACATAACGTTTATCAACAAATCAAATCGCTTTGTCAAGGTAAAGCACTTTTGCGTGTCTTGTTGACTTGATTAGATCAAGCTGTCCACGGTCAAAAACATCTCTAGCAAAAGTCATGTCTTCTGTTTCCAGAAGTGATCAAAATATGATATCTCCCAACAGTACCAGGTGCGGATTAAGGGGGGTGGGGGAAGGATGGATTGGGTGACTAGCCACCCCGCCCTTTAGGAAAATCAAAAATCAAAACATTGCAAAAGGATTGTGAATATTTTGACAGAAATATAGGCAAACACTCTGAACAGAAACCATAGTGATTACAAGTAATGTTTTCCTAGCTAAAATAGTTGTGGCACTGCTGGTATATCTGGTGTAACAGTTTTCAATTGGGCTCCAATGCTCAGATTTGCAACATTATATGGGGGCATGCCCCATTGATTCTGCAACCCCAAGGTACCAACCATCCCCGCTCCTTGAAGAATCCCCGATCCAACCCGAGAATCTACAGAATCCAAAGAGCTTCTGTGTAGGAGGCTGCAGTTCTCGTTTGGTGTTTGTGTGGTATTAAACATCTCACACCAGCTTTCGTCTGTGTTGTAATGTTTTGTTCATTGTCTCCTACAGCTGTACTACATCGAGGAAGGAGAAATCATCTTTTTTTTCAATCTTTCCCCGGGAGAACAAATGGACGTGAACACGTACACGACACACACATGGTTTGTTAGAGACCTCGACACCAGAACAGTTCTTCATGTAAATGGACATAAAGATTACGTGCCGAAGGAATCAGATATTTACCATCGGATACGAGTTTACATCACTGTGCCAAGTTCGTGATACCTTTGTTGCAAAATAAACAGACTGTCTATATTATCTAAGTAATAGAACGAAGGTTGGTTGTCCGCGTATTATGGCGCGGAATGTTTGCACGATCATGGCTTATGGTTGATAATGATGATGTGGTTTCTTAGTCACTCTATGCAACTTAACTGCCTTGTTCAACATTTGTAAGGGTGGTACTGGAATTATCAGAGTGAAGTTCTGGTTGTTTTTGCCGAATAGTTTGGATAGGTTATACTTGGGATGCGCAAAGTTCTTGCCAAATATATCGATCAATATTGCGAGGTAATTTCACTAGACAATTTAGTTGTTGGGGCAAACTGATAGAATGATGACGGTATTCGCGAACGAGAGGAAGTTGCTTAGCTGCAGCAGTGCCGGTTGCTAAATGCTTCAAATTCCGTTGGAATTTGACCAATTTAGCTCGAGTGTAAGAGAACAGCGGATGAATTTCAGCAGCCCGGCCATTAGAGCCCGCATAACGCACTATTCACCGACAAGATGTACATAGTAAAAACGTTAAAAGAAACTCCAAAATTTCGCCTTGAAACACCGGTGCAAACCTAAAAAAAAGCCGCATAGCGTACCTCCATTTCTAAATGTCCTATGCGAATTGTTGCCCTAATGCTCATTTAGAACAAGGAGGATACCATCTGTATTAATAAGACATTTTGTAATTTGAACAACAATAGTCAATTGAGAACGCGTGCGAGCCATATTCCCCAAAGTGCGCTCGAGTTCCAATTTAAGCCAGCTTTTACAAGTTACCACAATTGTGCCTGCATGATTACTGAATGCTGCCTTAATTCGTTTAGTTTCTCAGAAAGCTAGTTTTCTTCAGCTGTAAAATAACACAGTTGTGTGTTGTCCTTTACACAGGCACGATTTCTCTTCCTGACATGAAATTTCCTGCCATGCTCAAAACGAAACCAAAGTACATCGAAGTGATGGCAACCGCTGACAGCTCAGTAGTGCAGTTTCATGGCAAAGAAAAATCAGAGAAATACATCTTAACTTTGATGAACATTGTAAGTAGTTAGGCGTGATTACGCTACAGTCTTGCAATTCAATTCTGTGTCTATCTGGCTTATTA